ATCCATTCCCTTCCCATCCATTCTCCTCTTGGGATTTTGGGCACGCATGCACATGCACCCAGTATGTTTTTCAAATCACTGGATCAGGACTCAATTCATGCAGTTGGCCATGTGGGATCCCACCACCTTAATCACTACACCACTGGCTGGCCCACAATGTACTCATTTCTTTACATTTTTTAAAAGAAAATCTTCATTTCCTTTGTATCTTAGAGCTTCTGTCTATGGTAATTGTTCTCATTCTGAATTATACTTGAAGAATTTGCTTTAATATGAGTCAAGGAAAACTCAGTCTTTGTTTTTTGTTTGTTTGTTTAAAACTATCTGTTTTTAACTTTATTTTACTTTCTCACTCTCATTTCTTGAAGAGTTTTTCCTGGAAAAAGAATTCTCGATTGGCAGGTTTTTTTTTTTTTTTTTTTTTTGTCATATTGAGAATATGGTTCCAAGGATACATGTCTTCCACTGTTGCTAATGAGAAGTGAGCTGTCAGTTAACCATTGATATACTGGAGATAATTTGCTATTTTCTCACTCTGTATGTTTCTAAAATCTCCATTATCTATAATGAATTTAAAGTAGTGTATTTGTAGTTCATCGTGATGTGTCTAGATATGGGCTTCTGGTTATTTATCTGATCTGGAATTTGTGAACTTCTTTATTCTTCACCTTGATATATTCTGTGTATTCAGAAAAATCTCAGGCATTATCTCTTCAAATGTTATCTTAGTGTCAGTCTCTCTCTCTCCTATTCTTGTGAAACTGCTATATAATTAGATTCACATTAGCCATTTCACTCTATCTTCCATTTCTCTTAACCTGTCTTTTATATTTATAGTCTTTTTAATTCTCTATGTGTAGCTTTCTGGATGATTTTTTTCTTAGTAATTTTCACTTTTCTAATTTTCTTCTATTACATCTAATATATTAAACCAATCAAATTAATTTTTCATTTCAATTTTGTATTTTCATGATAGAAGTTCCATTTAGTTCTTAATCTCTGCTAAGTCATTGAAAAATTATTTTCCTATACACTGCAAATTTTTATGGTACTTTATTTCTTTAAACATAATGAACATAATTGCTTTATAAATAAAACCTGATAATTACAAAATCACTTATCACCATCACATTGTCCCTGCTAATTACCTCTTGAAAATTATTTCTGAGCATGCTAGTTATTTTGATTTATTTTATGGGAAAGTAATTGCAAGAATTATTCAAGACCTATTATAGAGGTGCATTCCTAGGCCTTACAAATCCCAACTACTTTAATCTTCATTCACAACTTGAACTTCTTTGGATCATATAGGTAATATGAATTTAGGCTGTAATCTATCTAATCCAAGGCTGCAATATCTTCAAGACAGGCAATTATTCCTTTCTCAAATGAATGCAAATTTATTTGTGGTCTTCTGGGAGTTGATCAGTCAACTTTCTTTCTGTTTCTAGCTTTATGGGGGAGGGTGTTCCACTGAATTCCCTATATGAGATAAGTCCTAGACTGACTTCTGAACATGTGTCCTGGAATAGAATGAAAACAGATACTAAATTCACCTGATTTGAAAATGACTCTCTTCCAGCATGAACTTCAGTGTCTTGCTCACCTCTTTGGGTATTTACTTTCCTTTCTGTATTGCCCTTGTACGTTTTCACTATCTTGATAGTTAGGTGATGCTTTCGACTCCAGTTGTATACTTTATCTGCTATTTGAGGCTTCTTTCTCCCCCCCAAAAAAACTGATATCCTACCTTGTCTGCTTACTATAATTACAACTTTAATATGGATTTTTAAAAGCAAATCAATATAGAATAGTTATTATGGATACAAAGTGGAGTCAGACTGTCTGACTTTACATCATAGATCTAGGCTAACATGCAATGTATTTTGGGGCAAGTTACTTAACTTTGTGTTTAAATTTTCTTTCCTTTTTTTTTTTTTTTGTTAATGAGGAAAGTAGTGGCCTAGTGGTTAAGGGAGCTGGACCCTACGTAACTGAATGCATAGTTCAAATCCCAGCCATGGTGGCTTGAAAAACAGGCTGGATGAGTGTGTATTCCATGACCCAAATCCTGACAGGATGGAGAAACGGAGAAAGGACTGCAGTGTGACTGTTTCCCATGGGAAGGTGCTTTCTCCCTCTCCCTTTCTTTCTGGCAAGAGCATGCCCCCTCTGGCAGTAAAGAAAGTAAAATGAGAAAAGTAATAGTATTTTCCTCAAAATACAGATAAAGCGATTAGTGCACATTCTATCACCTGATCATCACTTAGGAAGTGTTAGCCAACGTCATTATGATGATATCTTTGTAAGAATTGGTAAGAAGGAGGAAATTTTAAAAAGGGCAAGAAATGAGAAAGGGGAGGGTGGCTTGTAAGAGAATGCAGAAGATAACAAACATTGTGGGGGAGAGGATATACTAAGAGTCTTTCTGTATGTTAGGCAATACAATTCACCTCTTCATTTTCTCAAAAGATCACCAGTAAGGACATAAATTACTTTTCAATTTTTTTCTCTCCAAGCAGGATTTGTGGTTTTGTTTTATTTTATTTTTTTTGGTGGGGAGGGTTAGAGTATGATACTATACCAAGACCGGTTTCAAGGTGATTCAGTCTTTTTCTTATAATTTCCCTTAAACAAAAATCAGCAACTCTATGCAAAGAGTATTGTGTTTACTAAGTGTCTCTGTTGCTTTGACAATCTGAAACAATATGGGCACTCCAAGCAAAACACCACCAAGACAACTTAAATAAAATGAAATAAAGTGAAACAAAACTTGGACTTAGGAAAGAAAAATGAGATGTTAGAAAGGCCTGTGAAATAGTAAATTAAAAGGACCCATTTCTTCCAAAGCAGAGCTGTGAAGCCATTAAGGAAACTGAACTCAGTCATTCCGAAGGTGTCTGAACCTGGAATATGCCCCCATTCCCATCTTTGAATCATCTTTGATTTCCTTTCTTTCCAAAATACAAAAAAGAACTTTACTCTGATATCCCGTTATCGACATGTAGACCTGACCCATGGAAGAAGAAATCAGTTGCCTTCAATTCCCTCCCTAAGGTTAGTAACTAGGTGCATATCCCAGGAAGAAAGATTGAAGAATATCAATACACCTGGACGAAATCATCACAAGCTATTATTCATCTCCCAAACCCATTCTGGCCCCCAAAAGAATTTACTCATGATTGAGCATTAAACACATTCCTTCCTCCAACGACTTCCAGTGATTAGAAAATCAATCTAGTTTTCTTTATCATAGTATTTGACCAACCACTGCTGAACAAGATTCCTGCTACAGTTTTGTTTTAAAGTTTTGCCATAGAATGAGTGCACTTGCTGGAGAGAGAGAAAGTGAAAAATTACCCTCACCTCCTGTGGGGGATTGGAGGCAGGCACAGTGGCCATGTCACACTCTCTTCTCCTCTATCTTTCTCTCAAGATTTGGGCACACATACACATGTGCCGGGCATGTTTTTCAAATCTCTGATCTAGGACTTCAACCCAAAGTCAGCCATGTGAGACCCAGCCACCTTTTTTTAAAAAAATTTTATTCATTTGTTCATTTTAATTTGACCAGAGGGAAACACACACACACACACACACACACACACACACACAAAGAGAGAGAGAGAGACAGAGAGAGAGGGAAAGTGAGAAAGCAAGCTACCAGGTCTGGGACTCAAACCATGGTAAGCCATGTAGGAGTATCTAGCACCTTAACCACCACACCACCTGCTGGTCCCAGCTCAGCCACCTTAACCACCATGCTACCAGCGGGTCCATCCTTGCTATGATTTTTGATCAATGTAAGCCTTTGATTGATCCTCCTTCCCATTGCAACTTTTAGCCTTTAAATTCATCTTGAATTCTGTAGGATCTCACCACACATTATTCAGGGCAACTTGCACATTGTGCTGTCCAGGCAGTCATCCTCATTTTTGCCTGCATGAACTGTTTGGTTTTGTGTACTTCGCCTCAGCCTTCTTTTATAAGTAACAGGCCTTTGTGATATCAACCACAATAAGAAAGTGTAAAGATTTTCTTCCTTGTCTTTTAAAAAGGAAATGGTCTACTTACAGAGGAACGACTTAGTACACACACTTAGGAAACAGAGCAGTGTTTGTCCACCTCTGCACTGCTGACATTTGGGCAGGGATAATTCCCTGTTGTGGGGGGCTGATATGGTGCACTAGAGAATGTTCAGCACCCCCATCCCTACCTTCAGCTGAGGTAACACAGAAGGTCTCCAGATCTTGTCCCCTAAGGAGAAAACTCACTCCATGAGAACTACTGCATGAAGGGTATTGCAAAAACAATGAGAGATTATTCATCTCTCAATCCTATTACCCAGAAATGTGAACTTTATTTTACACAAATAAAAATTATGGTCACATAGAATTTACTGTTCTGAAGCCAGTTTAGTTTCCCACTCAGTAGTATGGCATCGACATTTTTGTTTTGTGATGTCCCTCTGTGGGGTGATTTAAAAAAATAGATCTGGTATTAATATTGTATAAAAACACCATATTTTACATCATTAGTCTCGTAGTTTTTGAGAATTGGATTGTTTCAAATAGGGCTACAATAAATGTACGTGTGTCTGATTACTTCCTTGGAATAAATTCTGGGTCGAACCGCAGCTCACAGTAACTTTGGTGCTGCGCACTAGTATGATGGACTTCAGCGACATTCAGATTTGCCCTTAACTTCCAAGTGATCTTTATCAGGATCCATTTTCCCGCGGAAAAGTCTGCTCCACGCCCTTCGCTGCCCAACCTGTCCTTGGCCAGCTGAACGACGAAGAATGGCCTTGGGGCGGGTTGGTGAGCCTATCAGTCCTCCACCGACAGAGGGCACTGTGATATCTGCGGCGGCTCGGGGCGAACCAGGAAATCGCTCTCGGTCGGCGGACATTCTGTCCACCCAACTCGTGTTCACTCGGCGGCCTCCGGGTTTGGGGAAGTGTTTCTAGGAGACGGCGGTCGCTCGCTGCGCCTGCGCATTTGACGCTGCCGGGGGCGGACTGACGACTGGAGGCGCTGGCCGGCTCAGGGAGTTCCCGCTGGCCCTGGGTCGCTGTCGTCGCCTGGTAGCTCTCGCCCCGAGGTACGCCTGTGAGGCCGGCTGCCGGCAGACGTCACCTCGGGATGGAGCACATCCGGACGACCAAGGTAATCGGACGCGGGAGAGCCGTTCGCCGTTGACCTGGGTCTGATCCGGCCGAGGGGTGGCGACCAAAGCTTCCCTGGCCGGCCTGGGGCTGGGAACCGGCCGGGCGGGGGCCCTAGCTGGAGGGGTCCGGCCGGGCCTAGTTTCGGAGGACTGGATCCGCTTGAGCGTTGGGTTCGGAGGCCTGCTGTACCTGCGGGAGCAGGGGTCTCAGCCCCTCGCGAGGCTTAAGGATGTGCGGGGAAAGTGGTTGCAGCCCTCTCGGTTCCGTACTTTCTTGGGCAAGATTGACTGCTTTAACTTTGGGGGCTTTAAGCTGTTCGCCGCCTCTGACACCGGGAGAGCGGTGGGTCCCCAAATTAACATTACGATGCTTTGTGAGCTCGTCTTTGCTTACGTATCGTTGTCCCGTGTCACACATTCATGATGCAAGTTTTGGAGGAGCCGAGATCAGCACTCCGCTCCGCCTCACTTTCTGGTCTCGGTCTGCGGTCATTTAAATGTGGTATTTCCGTGTCTGCTTCAAACTTTCGGCAGCGTCTTAAGTGTCCGTTATCAGTTTTTAACGGTAGAGAGGGGAAATACTATCCCACATTTACAAAGGATAGAAGTTCCTTCAGTCGAGCTCGTTCAATCTTGTGGTTAATTTTGGTGTGTAACGACATTTGAGAACGGACAAGTGTTTTTGTGATCCCACTACACATTCACAAAAGGAAGGAAATGGCATCGGCATATTACTCAATTACTTTTCCAACAACATTTAAATTGAACTTCTATTTGGGAGGCAGAAAAACAGAAATTGAGAGTAGATGAATGGAATAACATTTTAAGAGCGCCGGATCTATCCTTCAGGACGACCCACTGTGAATGCCGA